ATAGTAATAATAATATTATTATTAGTAAAATCCTCTACCTATTGAACCCCGATAAACCCTGGCACCACATGGTTTGAAACCGTTCAAGCGATACGTGGCGCATGGTGGAGTAGTGTTGTTTTTTTAAGAAGTGCGTATCTTTGAATCCCTTGTAACTTCAATCGGCCCCAAAATCCATCTCCCTTCCTCTCGCTCACGCAAATCCCTACCCGAAATACTTGTTGATTCGAGGGAAATCTAGACGTGAATTCGTTTTCTGTGTTGGCTAAGGTTTGAAAATCTTCCCCTTCTTGTTTATTCTTACTTTCACCGCTGCAAACTCCCAGTAATTGATCGGAGGAAAAATATCCCTAATTTTAAAATTGTTGCCCCAATCCGCTGTTACTTGTTCCGTTAAAGTTCCGGTCATTAGATTTGAAATGCTTTTATAATTGCTGAGTACTCTTTGTTTTTGTTTGCTTTGATGATACTGGTATTGGATTGCAGAAGCTGATCTATGGCGTCGCCAGCTGTGGAGGTTTTTACTCCGCTGCAGGTAATATTTGTATTTGTATATATATATATTTTTTGCTTTTTCTTGCTTATAGTTCTTATCAATTCGTTTGATTGTTTATTGCCGATTATTTTTTTTTTTGCTTTTTCTTGCTTATAGCTCTTATCAATTCGTTTGATTGTTTATTGCCGATTATAATTCTAGTTTGTTAGTTTCGCTGGATTTTTATATGCGAAATCAAGATGTGCTTTTTGGTGTTTCCTCGGTGTGTTATTGCTGGAAGCTGATGGCTTGAAATGCGTTGAACTTTTGGATGGTTATTTTTGCACTGCTGTTTGCGTTCCGAGATTGGGGTTTTTGAAAATAAGACCAGCAATGTATCACAAAATGATCCTGGTGGAATATAGAAAAAGAATTTGGAGAAAATTTTGTTATACAAAAAGGAAAATTTTCTTTGTTAAATTTTGTATTTTAATAGAATTTATCATAGTTTATGGTTGATTAAAGTTACGTATTAATCCAACCCTTAACTTGCTTGACACACAAATTTTTTTTGCCGGAAGGAATGCTCTCTTTATCTGTTCACCAAGCAGCATGACATGAATGCATGTCACAATTTAGCTTTCTCATAAAGCGCACATGCACAGGCCACGCAATCTAGGCTGACTTGGGTGCATTGTAGTCTACAGGGTAATTTAATCTACCAATTAAGTATACATTTTCTACATTATTTTGGTGTTTATCTAAAATTCCAATAGTTGGGTTTTTTTTTAAATAGTGATAAAATTTTAATCACATGATAATTATTTCAAATTAACTTGAATATTAGAATTGATTCAATTGATTTCATTCTAAGTATTAATTTGAAGCATGTTTATAAATTAATTTAGAGTTAAAATAGTATCAAATGAGCTCAATGCATGTATTAATAGCAGAATTGCTAGTATTATTTACTTGAATGTGGTTGGCTGTATAATTAGCCTTCACAACAACTCCTATTATATAAGAATGATAATGTTTGATTCTTGGTATGCTTGACTTGTGTACTTTTTTGTTTTAATTATCTTTTATGCTCCACAAACTCTAGCTGGCTAGTCCTTAATATCAGAGGCGTTGGAGCTAGTGGTTGGAATTTTTTAATGGCGTTCTTTTGCAAGCATGGAAAGGTATTAGGATTTATGTTGGATTGACTAGGATGCTTGAGTTTTGGCGGGTCTATTGTTTGTTTTGTGTCTAGCTTTTTCTTTCTTGGTTCTTCTTTTTCAACTGCCTTTCTTTCTTCAAGTTTTACGCTAATAAAGTAGCAAACAAATGTGTCTTTTAACTAATTTGCTAGTTTCCATTGTTTGTTTCCCTTGCAAAAACACCTTTGTTTTCCTTTGGTTATGTTATCATTCATAAAAACAATGAATTTTTTACTCTAAATTTCTCTTTGCAAAGCTCAATTTTCTATGTTTCCTGATCTGTTGATTTTGTGGTTGTCTGGTAGATTTCTTATTTTAGAGCCCAAATCTAAGATCATAGAAAGAATCTTATTTCATATCAGCTTGAATGAATTCAAGTTGAATTGTATTTGAATGGAACAGTCCAATTTTATGCAAATAGGCCAATTAATGTTTACACTGGATTTCAAACTTGTTGGAAAGATTAATGATTGCACAAAGATTGATGAGTTGCACCCCTAAATCAATGCTTGTGGATGAAAGTTGTTATTAGAGTAGGTTATTTATAACTTTGTAGCAGGTGAGTTGTGTGAGGGGTTCATATTAATGGCATGCATGGTGAGTTTTGTGCTTCTTTAATACACGACAATAAGAATCAAGGGTGCCCTTTGTGAAATTTAGAGAGAACAAGAGATTGAAGATAGTTTTCTTTTGTGTTCAAGAATGAATGAGAAGGAAGTACCATTGGTTGAAGAATTGCATATAGATTTACGGGCCATCATTTTTTATGAAATTGCTATATATGGGGATTTTTCTGCAGTCAAGATTACAATGGTCTAAAAGGTGAATTAGTTGTTTTGGTGGGAGCTCTATGCTAAAATTTTGACATTACATTATTTACTTACCAACTTTTTTTAAGTTTGTTAAGCGGTAATTACAATGTAAGCCAACTGATTCCAATATTTAAAATTGCGCAATTGGGTATTGAGGTGTTTTTCATTCTTGTGGCAAGGAATAAGCCTCGGCATTTTGAGGTGTATGCCTCAAATTTTTAAAAAAATAATATATTAATAAATATTGTATAAACTATAAAGTTTGAAGTATAAAGTAATATATTAATATTTTAATTTATTAATACATTAAAAAGTTATATAACAATTATTTAACTAAATAAAAAGTAATAAATTGCTTAAAATTAAAAGTATCACACTAATATCCTAACATTAAATTATGAAATAAGATGGGTTATACAATTATTAAACTATCAAAGTAAAATAAGATATTAAAATAAAATACTAAAATATTAAAACATAAAAATCAAAATAAAATTAACATTTATCTTTCCTTCACATGCTTACTACCCCTAACTTAAAACAAGAATATAACAAGTTGTCAACATTTGAATTTTTAATTTTAATTCTCCATTACTCTCATCACTGAACTGATTTTCATTAGAACTACCGACATAATGAATTGTTTATCTCGCACATTATGCTTAGTCGTATCTATATTCTCTCATTTCTTATTATCTCTAATCTCTATTATTTTCTATTTTTAATGAGTAATCATTAGTAAAAATATTAATTGAAATAATATTGTTTTGATAGTTAGAATTTTAACTACAATATTTTTAATGGATTTATTTTTTCTTATTATTTACTATATGAGAAGTGATTTTTAATAGATGAGTTATATTGATTTTATTTTCAGCTTTGTTTTAACGGATAGCCTAAAAAATTTGTTGCATTTTTTGAGGCAAGGCGTTCCTTGAGGCCCACCTTAGTTTGGGTGAGGCAAATGCCTCAACTTGGGACAATGAGGCGTAATCCTCATTGCAATTTTTTTGGTAAAATATGTTGAGGCGCACCTCAGATTGCACAATTTTAAATAAGGGCTGATTCTATGTTGTCTATTCACTCTTCTAGAAAATATTAAAGGAGAACCCATGAATAAATAACCTTGAAAAGTTAGAGGGAGCCCCATTTCAGTAAGAATAACCTCTCTCCTCATGTACTATTTGTTGGTTGCATGAAAAGCTACCATCTCTTGTGAATTGATTGTAAAATGGATCACCAAAAGATTCTTAGTCACTAAGGACCAGTTTTGGGCAGCTTTTTTGACACGGTGCATTTTGAAAGCGTCGGTTAAAGTGTTTGGAAGCCGCGACACCGTGGTTTTCCTAAATAAATTATGTTAAACGCGGGCTACTGGTTTGACCCTGCGGCCCGCGTTACTCCTCGAACTTATTACCCCTCTGATCTCTCTCAATCGTGATATCTCGTGGCTTAGTCTCGCATTTCTCCTGCCCTAGCTACTTCTCTCGATCGCTCTCACCCTCTATCGATTGCTCTCACGAAGTTATTACCTCACTGCCGTAGGTACCTCTCTAGTTTCTCTCTCTCACCTCTCACGTGCCTCTAAGGTGCCTCTCTCCGGTGGCAACAATTTGCTCTCACGCGCCTCTAAGGTGCCTCTCTCCGGTGGCAACAATTTGTCTTTCTCCTCTCCTTATTCCCTCTGATCTCCGATTATTGTGCTCTGTATGTAATTCTTGTGCTCATTTCGATGGAATGACTTTCTTTTTACGATTTGTGGCTTTCTCATTTGGGGTTTATGAGAGAATTTAGTGGATTTTGTGATTTGTAGGATTTTGCAATTTGCGATTTTTCGATCTCTGGTTACATACAGGACACCCAAAACTGATGCTTACTTCCTTTGATTTTTCGATTTGCAATTTGCAAGTACGCTTGCCACGATTAAACCATTGTGAATGTGATAAAAATGAAAAATAGGGAATGGTGTTTAATCTTGACCTCCACTAATTTTTTTTAGTGAGAATTTGAAAAATGGATGAAAGAGGGTTCTTGATTTCTAGATAACACTGTTTCGGTGCCGTATATGTAACCGAATCAAATGAAAAAATATGGAGTGGTGTTTTATTTTTACCTCTAATTTTTGAATGAGATTTCGAAAAATGAATGAAAGAGGGTGCTTGATTTGTAGATAGCAATGTTTCGGGTATCCTGTATGTAACTGCCACAATTGAAAAATATGGAACGCTTACCTTTGATGTTTGAGTGTGAATTTGAAAAATGGATGAAAAAGGGCGCTTAATTTGTAGATATCAATGCTTCGGGTGCCCTCTATATAATTGCCCCAACTGAGAAATATGGGATGAGGTTCTATCACTACCTTTGATGTTTGAATGAGAATTTAAAAATGGATGAAAGAGGATGCTTTATTTGTAGATGACAATGTTTCGGGTGCCCTGTATGTTTTTAACCTTCAGAAAAGATGAGTTCATGAACTTTCGGTACCTCTAAAGAATTGCAGCGCTACTGTGGACTACAATGTTCCCTGCTTACTTTATGACAACCACATAGCTATGAGAGACAATTTTACATGTGTCCAAGGAGAAGAACAGAAAGCTATGAATTTTTTAGGTGGTCGGATGGGTTTGAGGATTCCAGCATCAATAGTGATAAGACGTGGAGAGTCTCGTTGGAGGACGAATTATCTCGTGATATTTACTAAGTGAATTTTATAAATAATATTATCATATTATTAATTGTTATTTTAATAGATATTTTTTAATTTTGATTGTTGTGTTACTCACTGTTTAATGAGGTGTCTGTTTTTATTTTGTAACATTCAAACTGAATATTTACTTTCAAGTTTGAAATATGTTAGCAGGATTGGTTGTGTTATAAACAACACTGTACTACGGGGGCAGAAATGTCATTTGTTCAGAAACATCTGCAACACAGTTGTTGCAAAACTGCAAAAACAAACAAACACCCAAGCTTCTGCGTAATAGTTTCCTTGCACAGCTGCCGTGCAGTAGGTTTTTAATAAGTTGCAGCTGCCCCAAACAGACCC